GCAGTGCCCCAACCCCCCCCCCCCACGGGCCCTGCTCTGTGTGAGTGTGACAGTGGCGGTGCCCCAACCCCCTGATCGGCCCTGCTCCATGGGTGATAGAGGGCGGTGCCCCAACTCCCCTATTGGCCCTACTCTGTGCATGACAGGGGGGAGCTCCCCAACCCCCTGATGGGCCCTGCTCTGGGCGTGACAGGGTACGGAGCCCCAACCCCCCTGATTGGCCCTGCTCTGTGCGTGACAGGGGGTGGCGCCGCAACCTCCCCATCGACCTTCCTTGAGTGTGACTGGGGGCGGTGCCCCAACCCCCCAATCGGCCCTACCCTGAGCGTGACTGAAGGTGGCATCACAACCTCCCGATCCGCCCTGCTCTGTGCATGACAGGGGCGGCACCCCAACTTCCCAATCAGCCCTGCTCTGAGCCTGACCAGGGGCTGCACCTAGGGATTGGGCCTGCCCTCTGCCACCCAGGAGCAGGCCTAAGCCAGCAGGTCGTTATCTCCCGAGGGGTCCCAGACTGCGAGAGGGCACAGGCCGGGCTGAGGGACCCCTCCTCCCCCCGAGTGCACAAATTTTTGTGCACCGGGCCTCTAGTCTATATATATAAAAGCCTAAGCGACCGTTATGAGTGAACAACTGGTCAACCAGTCGCTATGATGTGCACTGACCACCAGGGGGCTCAACGCAGGAGCTTCCCCCTGGTGGTCAGTGCACTTCCATGGCCAACCTCTCATGGCCCCTCTCCCCGTCAGGCCGGTCCCAATCGGCCCCGATCAGCTCCTATCAGGACTGGGTGAGATGCCCCTATTGGCCCAGATTGTTGGCCAGTCCGAGGGACCCCACCTGTGCACGAATTCATGCACCAGGCTTCTAGTAATAATATAAGCACTGGATGTTAATCTAACCAACATTTTCATATAAATACTAGAGGCCCAGTGCATGGATTCATGCACCAGTGGGGTCCCTCGGCCTGGCCTGTGCCCTTTCGCAACCCAGGATCCCTTGGGGGATGTCTGAGAGCCAGTTGCAGCCCAATCCCCGCAGACCAGGCTGAGGGACCCCACTGATGCACGAATCCATGCACCAGGTCTCTGGTATGCATATAAGATCTTTGGTTAATCTCTTCCTGTTCCCCTCTTCCCTCTGAGATTCATCAGTCTGTTACATGTTTCCATGTCTGTGGTTTCCGCTCCTGTGTTGAACGTCTGCCCCCTGGTGGCTAGTGTGTGTCATAGCTACTGGCCTGTCAGCTGGTCGTTTAGGCTTTTATATATATACTAGAGGCCCGGTGCACAAAAATTTGTGCACTTGGGGGGGTCCCTCAGCCCGGCCTATGGCCTCTTGCAGTCTGGGACCCCTCGGAGGATGTCCACCTGCTGGCTCAGGCCCACTCCCCGGGGAATTGGGCCTAAGATGGCAATCAGACATCCCTCTGGCAGCCCGGCAGCCCTCAGGGGATGTCCACTTGCCAGCGGGGAGCAGACCTAAGCTGCAGTCAGACATCCTTAGCGCTGCTGAGGAGGCAGGAGAGGCTCCCACCACCACCGCTGTACTGGCAGCCATCAGCCTGGCTTGTGGCTGAGCAGAGCTCCTCCCATGTGAGAGCGCCCTGACCACCAGAGGGCAGCTCCTGCATTGAGCGTCTGCCGCCTGGTGGTCAGTGTGTGTCATAGTGACCAGTCATTCCCAGTCCTTCTGCTGTTAGGGTCAGTTTGCATATTACCCTTTTACTATATAGGATAGAGGCCTGGTGCACGGGTGGGGGCCGCCTGGTTTGCCCTGAAGGGTGTCCCGGATCAGGGTGGGGGTCCCGCTTGGGTGCCTGGCCAGCCTGGGTGAGGGGCTGATGGCTATTTGCAGCTGGTCACACCCCCTTCAGGGTGGGGGTCCCCACTGGGGTGCCTGGCTAGTCTGGGTGAGGGGCTGAGGGCTGTTTTCAGGCTGTTGGGTGACTGAAGCTCCCAACCTCTCCTTTTTTTCTTTTTTTTTTTATTCTGGGATTTATTTACCTTCTATGGCTGTCACTGGAACTGAGAGCCGGCTTTAGCTCTGAGGCTCAGCTCCAGCTCTGAGACCTCGGCTGCTGAAAGCAGGTATCTGGGTTTGTTTGGCTTCTATAATTGAAACACTGTTGCAACTCCAGCTCTGAGGCCCGGCTGGCTGAAAGCAGGTTTCTGGGGTTTGTTTAGCTTCTATAATTGCAACATTGTTTCTTAGAGTGCAGCTCATAGGCCGGCAGCGGCAGGCGGGGAACCTTGGCTTCCTCCATCAGTGGAGCAAGCAAGCCTCATGTTCGCTTCAGCTGCCTGGCTGCCGGCTGCCATCTTGGTTGGCAGTTAATGTGCATATCGCCCTGATTAGCCAATGGGAAGGGTAGCGAAGTTATGGTTAATTACCTTGTTTGTCTATTATTAGCTAGGATAGCTATTGAGAGTGGGAAAAACAAGGTTGGGCAGGGAAGGGGTGTATGAAAACAAGTTATAAACTCTCATCTTCCATGGTGGGAAGTCAATAAATGATCCCTAAAACTAAAACATCATAAAACTAAGTACCATAAGGAGGAAGGTGAATACCAAAGAAACAGCATAAAAGTTGACCGTGTCTCTGGAAGCAGGAAATGAGGGATAAGAGGAGTAAAGGGACTGATAGCTTTTTCTTTCAGCTTGTGTGACTCCTTAATCTATGCTCATGTAGGTCTCTGATGTAAATTCAGTTTTTTAAAGTAAATAGAATCCAACCATCTGACAGTTAGAAACTAATGCTTATCAGCCTTTTATTAAGGAAATCAATAGAAACTATAAAGGCTACTCTCCTGGTGGCTTAATGATGGTGCAACTTTTGCTTAATGCAGACAGGGAGAGATTTATTGCTTTCTCCCAATTGTTTTTCTTCTAGCTAAGTGTTAGCTTTTTTTCAGTCACAGGCCTTAGCTCTTTAAATACAAATTAATGACTCTTGATTGATTGAAAGTAGTACTCTGTTTTTTGAACTTTTAGTAAATTCAAAGATTTGGTATTAGCATGATTGCAGGGTATAGAAGATTGTTAACTAGTACTTAACAGATGTACATCAAGTTACATTGCTAGGAGCAAATTTTTTAATGTAATTTCATCTTCCCTCTGAAAATTTTCTTGGTACCTTTGCCTGACAGTTTATACCTCCTCCTAATCTTGGCATTGTGCATGTAAGCTGTCCCCAGTCTTCAGGGGAACAATGCCGTGAACACTGCAGTACTGACTTCCCTTCATCATTAGTAAACTAATCCATAAATATAGTTTATACCTGACTTTGAAATCCACCTGGATTATAAATATAATGGAACTTTACTGAGCCTCCATCCTCTCAACAGTGTTGGAACATTTAAAATGGATAGACAAAGATTTGGCCAAGTTGGGAGGGAAATCTGACCATGGTTTTTTACTTCCTTAATATAATCATATGTTTTGAGCTGATTTATTTTCACATCAGTAAACATCAATTCTGATTATTTTTCAAAGTGCTTACAATTATCACCACCACTACCACCACCGTTAGTATCTTTTAAATACTTTATAGCCACAAATTGCCTTTTCTAATAGTGAAAATATTTTTTAGCAGCAAGAGTAAAATTCTTGCGTTCTCTTCTTGAAATAGACATGATCATTATTGAATTTTCTCATCCTCTTTATGTCTAAATTAATTTGCACAGTGAAAGAAAAGAAAAATATAGAAAAAAGATAATTAAAGTAAATGGACTTACTTTGCTTTCACGGGCACTTTAAACGTGCTAATGGCAGTAGCTTAACTTAATACTAATAGTTATGAAAATAGTTCCTGTTAGCGGCAAGCCAAAAAGCTAGGCAGCTCTATCCATCCCAACTGCTTCAATAATTGGTCATTTTTGGCAAAGAGCCTGGGTCTATAAATAATTCAATCTACTTCAACGAGTTCTTAGCAGCAGGAACTGTCAAAAATGATATATGATGCAAACTTTATCCAAGATTGACCTTATATCCCAGGCAACATTTCCAATGCAGGCAGTGCCTGACTTAGTTAGGATAAGCATGTTCATTTTGTACAAACGGCCATCTGGGGACAGCCAATCCAGCTGGGAGGTCAGATCACCATAGTAACTCTCTCGTCTTGCCCTCTGCTGTCTCTGCACATTATCTCCCCTTCCCCTGGCCCTTCTGTCCCTGGCACCACTCCTTGCCTAGCTCTGCAGTTCACACCTGGCCTTGGGCCTGTGATTCCCACCCTGGAATTCTTTCCAAGTCCTTAAAAGGGCTGTGTTTGTGATTTTTGTTTTATTTTGTTTTCCAAAAAATAACTTCCCTCTTTATTGCTGGGGGTTCCTCATCTCTTTAAGCTCTGTCCCCAGTGCTTTGCATTATGTCTGGTGCACAGTAAGCTCAGCCATGGTTGATGAATATGTAGGAGAGATTTTGAGTTTTTCAGGTGTCCCTACTCAAAAACCTTCAGCTGCAAATGTGAAATTAAACAACCATGCTTCTTATTTTTGTAAACTGCATGTGATAAACTCAGTTTGGACATTTTTGATGTATCATTCTAATCATAATTTATAAGAAGATTAGATGGACAGAAATCTTTAAAAGGATGGGTTCTGTATAGGGGAAGTTGCTGTTTTTTTAAGAGACAGTAGTAGCCCAGATTTTGTAAAATGGGGCTATTTTTAAAACTGTTTTGCCGTAGGGCCAGCTCAAGTAGGAGCTGTGGGGAGTGGTAGAGAGATCGTAGATTTGAGCCAGAAAAGCATGCATTTGAAAGCCATCTCCATTACTCTACAGCTATTAGTACATGTCCTCAAGCAAACCACCACATGATTATATCACTTCTATAAGCTTCAGCTTCCTCATCTCTCAAACAAGAATCCTAAGAGTTCTGCTTCAAGCTATTGATAACTTCATTCCACTTTTAATAGGATTTGTGCTTTTGTTGTTGTTGTTCCTATATTGGTATCATGTACTAATTTAATACTCTGTTCATGTCATGACTATTTGCAGATGTTACCCCTCCACATACATCTGGTTATATAGAAGTCACTGATCTTCAATCAAAAAAACTCCGATATATCCCTATTCCCAGGTAATCCATTTCCACTTTTGTTCTTAGTGTGTATGTTAGATTAAAAGAAAAAAGAGTGACTTCTTAACAAGTACTTTGAATAAATGTGTGCTTTCTGCTTCCTTAAATAGAAAGCTCTTTTTTTTTTCAGCTACAGTTGGTTTATATCTTGCTGTTCTTCTGCATGCCTTACTGCCATTTTAATTTTCATTTTGGAAAAATGTTCAAATGTTACATAGGTATAAATCTATCAGCCTTGTAGTCTTCATTTTTCTTTTATTGATCTGTCCTAATGATAAATTTTTCTGTATCTGAAACAGCATTTTTAGTATTATAGAAATTTTCATACTTATTAATTTCATATGTTAGTTTTCTGAGGTAAATATATTCAAACTATCAAAGTAATTTAAATATCATTTGGCTGATATTCTTTTAAAATATGTTATTGCACAGTAGTGACGGTCATACCGTGGTCAAAGGATTTCAGAGATTTGGGATGAAAGTGTCAGTCACTGCTTTTATTGTCCAGGGATGGAAGGAAAGCATTCACACTAGCTAGACTGAGGATTTGAAAGGAAAAGCAATGATGCTCTGTGTCTGAACACAGAGGTCCTCACCAGTAGCCCATCCCTCTCTAGATGCCTCCATCCATGACCTCCTTCAACCTGATCGTGTACCTGCCTTGATCTCACACCCCCTCCTGACATATACTCCCTCACAGGCAACTGAGCCTTCACAACACTGTGGTTAAAACATCACTTGAAATCCTAAGTGGAGAAGCCTGGAAAGCCTTCCAGTGTCACAGGAAGACCAGGGACACTGGAACATGTCAGAGACCTGGAATATCACCAGATCTCCCTTTTAGCCCCTTCTCCAACTCCCAGAAGAAAATAGCTCAGCATGACAGTACAGAATAACTCAGAAACACAGTTTCCTTAACCCTTGAGTCAGGTTCAAGAAATATGAATAATGAAAACATATCCAAAGAAATAGATTTACTTATTCCAACATATATAAGTATGGCTTCTTGTGTCAGTTTAATGAAAAATGGCCTTTAGTCATTTAGGAAAAGTCTTTATTCCATATTAATTATATGCTTATTAAAATATACTATTAGTGCAAGTTACAAAAGCAAAGAACTTATTTTACATTTCTAAAGCATTAAATAATGTTTTCATTATTTGTCTTAATTTCTGCCTCATTAGCCCTAGCTTTTTATTTCCGTGTTTTTCTCTTTTAACTTTCTCTATAACCTGTATGTTATACCTGCTATAGAAAGAACATCTGGAGAGCAATTGTATATATAACCAGTGCCAGCTGGTCACCATAATTCATTTAGAGCTGCACTGTCCAGTAGAAATATATGATGTGAGTCACATATGTAATTTTATACTCCTTAGGAAGCACATTAAAAGAGTAAAAATAAATGAAATTAACTTTAACATTGTATTTAACCCAGTGTATATTAAATATTATCATTTTGACATATATTCAATATAAAAATTTAATGAGATAATTTACATTTCTTACTTTCTCTAAGTTTTTGGTATCTAGTGTATATTTTACACTTACAAAACATCTAAATGTGAAGTTTAAGTGCCATGTGATTCTGTCTGTTCATTGTCAGTATATCTGAGTTTCTCTCGAGATGAACTGCTGTCATATTTTGGCATATATGTAATCCAAGGGTGAAACCCATTTGGATTCCAATTTTGTTGCTAAGTACTTAAATTGAGCATTCTGCTGATAGCAGGAATTTTTCATTTGATGGCTAACTTCAAATAATAAAAAATACAGTAAAATTATATGTAACTGCAAGACCAAAATGAATATATCACATTTGCCTTCAGTAAAATTTGAGTATTGTTTCTCAAATTTTTACATTATTTGCATTTGTAAAATGATACTCCCTAGCCCTTGTATGTGGGTGTATGTAAATCTAGGTTTCACTCTACTGTAATTCTATGTTTTTCTTGAAGAATTTGTTATGTATAAGGGGAACGTGTATTATTACTTTTAAAGGTGAAGAGATTCTAGACCTGGTGTACAAATTGTTGTAGAAAAGTAATTTATTCTGCACTTTTTATTGACATGTTGAAGAAATTGCCCTTGTAAATTACCAGTTTCATGGAGATTTAAATATGCAAGCAGTAGATACAGTGCTCATTGGACGCACACATCTTGAGTGCTCTTAGAAGAGTTTCAAATATAGTTTCACATGGATAAATTTCATTATTCTTAAGTAGCCATTTACTTCACCATCTGTACCTACTAATTTATTTCCTAAAGTAAATATTTTTTTGGAGAGCACAATAAGTTATATCCTGTATTATATCAAATATTACTTTCTTTGAGTCCTTCTAACACTGCAAAGTAGTTCTGAAACACTTGTTCCCATCCTACTGTTATCATCCTCTTCATATAAACATTTTCTAAGACTTCTGCATTCCAGAATAGCTGGCTTTGTTACACTGTGTTTAAAATCTACAAGGCAGACTGAAAAGAAAAGTCAAAGTAGTCTTTGTTTATTTTTGGTATATTATAAGAATTTCTCTAATACATAGTGTGGTTTTGTGGTTTTACGAGATCAGCAATGATAGTTTATGTTTTTATTATATAGAATGTATCAGATATGTTTAGGGAGCACACAAACTGGTAATTAGGATTTCTAATGTATGTATGTTATATAGATAATAAAGGGAGTATGTCTGCAAATAACTCTTATAGGCAAACGCTGCATTCCTAGAAATGACTGTATATGTACCATAAATATAAAATAAAGGAAATGTATATGTATGAATATATAATACAACTAATATATAAATTCTTTATTATAAATCCTTACAGTTTTCTAAAGTAGGAAAGGCAAAATATCAAATGTAAAGGAAGTTAAAACACATAAACAAAACATCAGTTTCAGCGCTGACCTTACTGCATGTTTGTGAAATATGAGTTGGTTTAGAGTTTCTTTCTGACAATGAATACTAATGTCACCTGGGATAAATACAGGAAAAAAAAATGTAAATAACCAGTAACTAAATGTGTATTTTTTTACTTACAGATGGATCTGGTGATATCTTTTAATGTGCTTATTATTAGAATTCTTTATAGCAAGTTTAATACACCTAAATCAGGTTAAACTAGCTTCATTACCTAGATTACCAATTGCTTGAATACTGTGATTTCTTTTTCAGATCAGAATTTCTCTCCCCATATACCACATGGATATCTACTATTTCAGACACAGATGCACTGCTAGCTGAGTGGGGCAGAGGTGGTGTTGTTACTGTTGATATGGGAGGTCAAATCAGACTTTGGGAAACTGGACTTGAACAACTGCAACGCTCACTCATGGAATGGAGAAACATGATTGGACAAGATGACAGACATATGCAGGTACCACTTGAATTGATCTTACCTCTTAAGGGTGCATATTCAAGTATAAATTGAGTTCATGAATATGCACCCTTAAGTGGTAAAATTCTACTTGTGAAAACGTCTAGCCCAATGACTCAAATATAGTTTTTTTAATGGCTAAAATAAATATCAGATCCAGAAAAAGGCAAATCTTACTCATCTAGAATAGTGAAAAAGTAAAATTATGCCTTTTTCTCTGACAGTGCTTAAATATACAGGTTCCTCATAGCACTGCATGTGAATACAATCAACTTTTATATTTTAACCTTAAGCATTAATCATTTTCCAGCACCACCTTTGCATCTCTTCTGACGTGTACTATCATCATTGTCAGCATCTCCACTTGAGATACTGAGGATCTAAAATGCAGCGTATTTTACAAGGTCAAAACCATTAGACTAGAGAAGATAAACAAAGCTATGCATCTAATAGAGATGTGTTTTTACCAAGTTCCTTATTTCCAGACTAGAGGCCTGGTGCACGAATTTGTGTATGGGTGGGGTCCCTCGGCCTGGCCAGCGATTGGGGCTGTCTTGCCCAGTCCAAGGGGGAGGGACCACGGAAGGTTGGCCAGCCACGAGAGGTTGGCTGTGGGAGCACACTGACCACCAGGGGGAAGCTCCTGCATTGAGCATCTGCCCCCTGGTGGTCAGTGCACATCATAGCGACCATTGTTCAGTCAACCGGTTGTAACGGTCGCTTAGGCTTCTATATATATAGATAATGCAAGTTTAGCAGTTAGAATAAATAGACCCAACCCTACACTGGAAAGGTGTATGGGAACAGGTGTCCAAAGTGAGAGGAAACCCCAGGACTCCAAAAATGACTCAGTCATCACCTAATCTAGCTGCTGTCTAGAACTAATGTGAATAATGAGGAAGCCTGTGTACCCATAAATACTAAAGCATATCATAAAAGCATTTATTTGTAATTAATTTATTTTAATCTTCAGAAGAAAACTTCCTTGTTTACATTTCATTTTTATCCATTAAAAAGAAAGGTAGGTTTCTACCAGCTGTGTTGCTCTGCAAAGAGCCAATTACCGAGATAAGAAATTTCCACAAACTATTCTATTAATACCTGATTAATAATTACTATTTTATTTGGCCGTTTTTGTGATTTCCTTAAAGGAGAAATATATATATTTGTGAATAAATAATTCATAGTTCTCTTATATTCTTAAAAGTTGGACGTAACATTTTGAAAATCACAAACCAGTATAGGCAAGCAACCTCAAATCCTTTTGGAATGGTATTAATATATTATTTTAATTAAGCTAAAACAAATGTATAGCTCTAAAATAAATATTCATTAAGTGCAATAGACTTATCACAGCAACAGACTGAATGTTGGTCACTATCCATAACAATAATTAGAAAAGTAATTAACTGTGGTTCTGACTTTTTATTATTCTAAACATTAATTTCTTCACCCTTTTAATTAAGCTCCTATTTTCATTACAGTGATTGATACCTAATAGTAAATACTATTGTATTTGAATCTTTTATTTTATTTTTAATTTCTCATGTGTTATAGACATCTAAGGTCATGTTTTTCCTATGGTCAGCATTTGTGGCCTATTAAGTTTATCGTTTACAACAGAACTTTAAAAGGACTTTTACTCATGATTTTGGTAACTGGTGTCGACTACTACAAAAATTAACCCCTATTTGTGTTCAGCTGTGTAGCTTTTCTCTTCCCAGTGTCTTTCCTGACTCTGTTGTGCAGCTCTGTATTCTCAGCTCCTAACATAATGATTCGTACATAACAGGAAATTAATAGGTTTGTTTATGCTCACATTCATATATACTGAATTACACTGGTCATTAAAGCTATTTGATAACAAATGGAATTATTTTAAACTGTCATAAATTATTCATTTGTTTTTATGTAACTGAATACTGAATAGGTATTTGTTGACTATATATGGTTATTAAGTTAAGAATAAACAATTATAGTACCTAACATCTCAAAAATAAAATATTTGGCTGTATTATACAGGGCAATATTTGATCTTCCCCAAACCAACCATTTTCAGCTATCACAGAAATAAGACTTACTTAGTAATAAAGTTACATAATTCAGAATTAAATTGTAGTTCCATTTGAAAAATTAGAATAGATGTTATGTAACATTATCCTTCCATCTCTGATGTTCCCTGATCCATTTTGGTTCATATTGAAAATGTATACTTATATACAGATTCAAACTGAGAAACAAATTGTCTTTTTGTCTAAACAGATGGGATGCATTGTCCAAATAGTCTGTCGTTGTTTTAATTTTTGGTTATGTCTCTCCTCTTCCTTGTCATTGCTTGGTAAACAATGAGACAGCATATTTAATTGCTCTTACTTAGACCAGTTCATGTTATTATTTACAAGTAGTTTATACAACTAACTCTAAATACGAATTATCCCAGGGGCAACGGTAATAACAAGTAAAAAAATTTGTCTTTTATAGTTCTCCTCCTGTTCAGTCCTTCAAGCTCTTCCTCATTTATGGATACTTTATTCAACATGGGTCTGCTCCTGATTTAGGAGCTTGATTGGAAGTATTGAGAGAAGATTAGATTCTCCACAACATACTTACCACTTGACTGCCAGCAGCTTCCCTTGTTCCTGGCAGAGTAACCTGATCTCCATCTAGTGGCCAAAAGGACTTACTTTACATTACAGAAATTAAAAGGCCAAGTTTGTTCTCCAGTAGTTTGGGGCAGCGCAGGCTGGTGTGGGAGGTTTACACACCCCTGCTTGGGTGGTTCCTGTTAGTCCTGCGATGCTCTTTAGGTCAGCAGCGAAGGCCAGGCAAATAACCTCCCGTGCCATCCACCACTGTTGACCCCCATCTTTCCCTAATTCCTTTGCCTGGTGTCAAAAGAACTATTATATTTAGATAAACTAAGCCAGTCATGTGCGTTATCTCCATCCTTTATGTTTTTGCTACATTTCAGGCTTCCAGAGTTAATAGCTCTGAAGCCACTATTGCTTTGAATTTTTGTTTTATTTAATGAATTCATTGATAGTTGTTTTAATGAGTACAACTTGCAAGAGAGTATATATTTAGCCCTGCATATAGAGTGTGTTCATTAATTTTACATGCTTTGATAGGAACATGTGTTTTTCTTATAGTCAACAATTATAACAACAAACTCAAAGCACCACAGTAACTGTCATCCTAAGAGCCCATTATTAAGAATCAATTTTTATTCCTTTTAGACTCCATGTTTTCAAAAGTCTGGGTTCATTATAAGCCAAAATTCTTCTGACTACACTTCACAGTATTCTTTATAAAGCATACTTTTTACATATTTTTATTTAGTTTTGGATTTTTCCCCAAAAGGCTGTTAAAAGCTACACCACAGTTTTCCTCAGAAATCAAGTCCTCTTCTCTAAAAGGCTTCTGGTGGCTATTCTTGTAGCAGCAAAAAGGCTGAAAGGTTGTGGCTTTCAAATGTTGTTTTCTAATTATAGTAAACTAATCAGAAACTAAGTATTTTATATATTGCTGATAGAATCTCTTTGATGCCTCTGAATAGTACTATGTACTTAAAAATGGGTAGAGCCGTCTGACACAAACACTGTGGGACTGGAACTTACTCATCCTTTATAGTGTGCCTGGCACACAACAGACACAGTGAATATTTGAAAATTGAGAGAAGCGTAGAGAAAATACATGGAAAAGATAGCTAGTTTCTATTAAGCACAACTTATCCTTCCCCCATTTCAAAGAAAATATTCTGGGAATATAAGTAAATGTAGCTTGCTGTACTTAGGTAGCCAAGCCTGGCCTTTTCTGTAACCAATAGTTCAACAGTTAGGAATTTTTAAGGCTTACTCTCAGCTTTGGAAACCACTAGATTACTTAATTGGCTCTCTATTAGTAAATTTAGGTTTTCGCCGTATAGGCTGTTATCTTCAGATCCTCTGTGGACGTTTGAAATTCTTTATTCTTTTTAAGGAGCATAATCCACTTTTGTACATCGTTCATTGCTCTCATTGGTAACTCTGAAAATACTTAACAATTTGATTCAGTGTATCAATGTTATAGAGTAATATATATTTTGTAGGGCTTTTATATGCACATATGGAAATCATCCTTGGCCCAGAAAGGCAATGCTTTTTATAAAAACTTTTATAATTTCCCACCATATCTCCTAGCAATGTGTCAGTAGAGCTGGTTTTCAGATGGTCTAGCTGTTTGTCTATATAGTAACACTTGGGCAGTGCCTTTAAGAATTTTCCCATTGTTTGTTCCTGTTAGAGAAATCCCAGCCATAGAAGTTCACTTTGATTCTAGTTTTAGGTCAGCAGTACCTGACAAAAGCAAGATTCCCTGGAGAGCATGATACCCAGTGGTGTGCTGATGAACTAGTTCTCTGGAGTGAGGTGGGGCAGTTTATAATATTTATCCTTTTCCATGGAGTGCATATTTCCTCCATGGCTGATTTCAAGCTACCAAGTTAACAATCTGCTCCCAAAAATTCCTGAATATTTAGCAATCATCTCTCAAGCTGGCTCCAGCATGCTACTGGCCTGGTTAAGCCTGTAGCAACCCAGGGAGAATTATGACAGTTACTTAACTGCAAGGCCGTTTAGCAATAAGGCAATGGAAATGTAGAGAAGGAGCGAAAGAGAAGCAAAAAAAAAAAGAGGAGAAAGGGTATTGAGGACGCAGATAAGGTGGAATATCAATTACCTTTGGGAAATGTTGAAACTTGCCGTTATCCTACTTACCAATTGGCAATGTTCTTCTTGAACCAGAAATTTGGTTTTAGTAAAGGATTAGAGAGAAGTCTGCCCTCAAGTAGGATGACACTCATGGGTTCATGCACAGGGGCCATCTTTCTTCTAAACACTGTATTTCAGAAGGAAACTGATAGTTGGTTTTTACATTCCTCCAAAGGTATTGCTCCCATTGGATCACAGCTTTATCAGTAATTGCTAAATATATCCAAAATCAAATCACTTTCTTAAGATAAG